TGCCACAATGATAGTCGCAACCCTTCCTAAGATTCCCCTCTAAAAGGCGGAGTCTATTCTTTACAAAGATATGCAAAGTCTACCTCTACGCAATTTAATTAAGTTCAATTCGATACCAGTTTGGACTAAGTTGTAACTTGAACTTCAAAATTGGTCAAACATCACATTAGTGTAAGGTTCTATTTACAAGTAGTTAGCTCGGCTAATTTTTTGCACCATGATGTGTCACCTGTCCAATATCAACGAAAGTTACGAGTTTTTTGTCCTTAAGTCTGATACTTTCTCCAATTTAGTCTTTAAAATTCAATTGAGTTCTTAATTTTTACCACAGTGTTAATTCTAATAATTCTCTATTACTAGTATTATTATTTAAATTTTATGGACTAAATTGACACAAATACGAAAGTTCATGAACTAAATAATTTAAACTTAAAATAATTATTTTAATATATAAGGTAAAAGAATGAAAAGATAAAATTAATTACTATCACAATCATCATAATAGGTATTATGAAAAAATGATAAAAATATTTTCTAAAAAAAAGTTAAAATAAAATAAAAATTAAGAAACTGGTGATCTTTTCAGTACTATGGCCAACAAAGGGCCAAAACTGCGAATATCTTAAACTTTAGGTTAAAAATGTCAAATTTTGAAATTATGATCTAGATATTATCTTACTCAAATTAATGTATAATTATTTTAAATTTTAAATTATTGATTCAATTATTATTTTGGTCGATGTATTCTGTCCAATTTTTAAGCTTTAATTTTAGTTCTTCAATCCTTAAAAAAAAAAAAAAATAGTTCTTCAATTTTGTTAAACTTTCAATTCAAATAGTTTTCTTTCCAACTTAAGTTTAGCACGAAATTTTTTTTGTTATACACTTTTTTTTCTGCCAATCATAATATAGATCAATGGATTAAAGCACGTATATATGTCCGATCAGAATATGGTGAGTTCGAATTCCTGCTCCCTTCGAAAAGCAGGAAGTTGTTTTCTTTTTTTTTTTTTTAGGAATTTAATAGGTTGTTAAAATAACTATAATTCAAAATTGAACTGTCAAAACTTAAAATAAAGAAAATATAAATATGGACAACTAAAGTGAGGTTTGAAATTTAAAAAAAAAAAAGAATGTGAAGTTTGAAAATTTTAATTAGAAATCAAAATGAAAACACAGAGACAATAATGTAAACGAGAGACAAAATTACATTTAGTCCTAAATTCAAATTTCAATAACTAAAATCAATACTTGGAAGAAAAAAAAAATATTTTTCATTGAAGAAAAGTCTTTTTGTTTTTTTTTTAAATAATAATAGGAAAAAAAAAGTGACATGGTCAAATTCCAATTTCTATATTTACGACTCAAAATGAAGATTTATAAGATTTTTGTGGCCAAATTTTATTATTTTTCTATCTAATCTTATAACAAATATTCGAGATTTGGAATAAATCAAATCATTCTGTCCCATAAAAGTTTGAATATTGGAATCAATCGCATTAAAATTTGTATTGTAATTTTCTCTGGTTTGATTTTTATCCAATTTTTACCAGAAATTTTGAAAATTTATCAAATTAGAAGACTATTTAAAAGTAAAATTAAAACACCATAAATACGTCAAAATATAATTTAAACCTAAATTTTAGATGATAAATTATTTATTCATTAATTATAACATAACTCAAATATAAAATCCTATCGGGTAATTTATGGCAATTCCAAGATCTATATTATATAAGATTAAATTCAAATTTACCACAATTCAAGAAATATTTGTTTATCTTATTTAACATGGAATACTCGTGTAGCTTTGAATATATATAAATATAAAAAATAAAATGAAGTACTTGTGCATAGAAATTCTTCTTTTCATCACAAATAGCAGTAAAAAATACTTATAAATAGCAAAAAATAAATACAGGCCAGTTAATAATTATTATGATTACATTATTTTTTTTTAGTTATTTAGGCTATATAATCATATTGCTTTTTATTTTCTATTTTTAAAAATAATTCTTATCTTTTCACTACTTCTTTAGTGTATTTTTAAATTTTAAAAAATATATTTTGAACTCTTAGCGGAATTTCGAAGATAACTACAAGTATTTAATTTAATTTTTTCTTTAGCTTTTAAAATTGGATTAGATTTTGAAAACGGTAAAAAAAAAAGCATATACAAAATAAGGAAATAAAAGAGTTAAAGTAGTGTTTACAAGTTCAATTATTTTAAAATAGAAAATAATAAAAATGGTTATGAAATGGAACCTTTTTTAGTATAACATTAGGGAGTGGGTACAGAACTCATGACCTCTTGGTTTGATATATCTGTCCGACATTATCAAATGGAACTTAGTGATTTTTATATTTTGGTTATAATTTAATTAGATGGGCACTTGCATAACGGGAAAATAATTACAATTAATTACAAATATAAAAACATCTTTTAGTACAACAAGTGGGAATGAGAATTTGAATTCACGATCTTTTGGATGCTTTAACCGATTGAACTATCATCAGATTCACATAAAAACAACATTTTAGATTTGTCAGTATAGCTAAAAATGAAATAATAATAAAAATTTTAGCCCAAACATATTCATAAAAAAAGACTAAATTAGTCTTGAAAGGTCTATTAATCTATAAGGTAGAGACGTTTATTACTAATATAGTCGGTCAATGATATAGTTTATTCTGTATATAGATGATAAATGTCTATTAACGATATAGTCTATTAACGGCCACTCGTACAAATATCACTGTACATGCAAAATTCTTTTTTAAAATTAGCTTATTTGTAAAATCATAACTATGTTGCTAGTTGCTATATTAACTATATTAAAATATAGGATCTAGCAATGTGAATTTCAATTAATTATATAAATAAATGATTATCAATTTATCACACAAAAATATAAATACATTGAGTACTATTATCAAAGTCAACTTATATTTATAATTACATTTATGAAATTACAGATTTATAAATATTGAATATTTTTATTAGTATACTAAAAGACCATATCTTTTAAGTCCCATTTATAATATTATATCTGTGATTTAGTCCGTCTCTGTGCAAAAGTAAATAATAAGAATTCAAGTTAATTAGTTTTTGCGTATCCCAACTCATTTGTCTCCACGGTATTTATAAGAGATGGGGAAAGGAATCGTTGGGAAATATGGCTCCCTATTTGAATAAACGGTTCTAGAAGTAGGAAACGTGCTTAGTAGGGAAACGGTTAGCCTGCCACGTGGGTAACAGTGAAATCATTTGGTTTAATACCAGTTCGGTTGTGGTCCGAATTGGTTCCCTTTACTCTTACTGGATTTAAAATAGCAAGGTATCTTAAGATTTAAAGGTTAAACAATACCAAACACCAATAGAAGTTGGATGGGTTTAGGTATTTGATTACTTCTAATTTGTCTTATTATACTAAATAACCTTATAATATAATTAATTAAATATGCAGCTCATTTTCTTTATAATTAAAAATTGTAACATTAAAAATGATAGCTCTGCTCAGCATCATTTTTTTAAGGGGAGAAATTAAGATTTACAATTTTTTATATGATAAGTGCTATCAATTAAAAATGAAATTTTTAATGTGTTAAGTTGATTTTATTTTATAATATATGATAGTGAGATCACTATATGTTTTGTTAAGTATTAAAGTTGAGTTTTTCCTTCCATGATTAAAATGAGATTTACTTCGCAATAAAAATATATATTTGATGGTCCTTAATTTTTTAGAAAGAAATTTCAATATTTGATGTATTTTTATTCATTTTTAGAATTATCACTTTTACCTTTAATGTGTTGATATATCTCATGTCTAAATAAGTATTAAAATTTGTTAATATATAAAATAAGTTATTATTTTATTAGTAGATTTGGACATATAGATATATCACATGAACAATTTTCTTAACATACTTTAACAATTTTTTCGACTGAGCAAAATCAATACATTAAATCTTTAAAGGTAAAATTGATAAGATTTAAGAACTTAGTTAAAAAGCTCATAATTTCAAGAAGTTAAAGAAGAAAATAAATAATTTTGTACATATTTAGAACATTTTTTATATTTTGTCACATTTAGTTCAGTACCCTAATACAAGAGTGCACAAGTTTGGAAAGAGAAATGGAGCCCTAGAGTCAATTAAGAGCCGTTCGACTCATAGAATAGTGAAGTAATATATCCATACGAACTCCGACCCTCAATAGCTCGAATACAAAATCAACATTATTTCATCCTTGTCAAGTATTATCACCAATACAATAAAATGCATTTCAAGTGATTAAGCAGGAACATGATTCGAACGACAATTGTCAAATACCGAATTTTATACTCGCGACCCTCTCCAGGATTGCGTTTAGTGCAAGACCTCATGCACATAGAACAATAAAACAATATATCTCATATACCTCCAACCCTCAACAGCTTGAATACAAAATCAAACCAACATCGTTCCGTCATTGTTAAGTATCACCGATACAAGAAAATGCATCTCATGCAACCCTTTCTACCTCATATACATAGAACAATGAACAATGAAATAATGTACGTGGAATCAAATAAACAATTTCACCCATATTAACCAAAAAGTCGGCTTCGAATTTTCATCTTTACGTGGAGCTCAACAAAATCCCCAAATCCCCGCGTTTGTAAAAAGGAAGTTTGAATTCAAAATTAACGCGATTTAGGGCTCTTACACATTTCCACACTCAGTTGCGTGTCCTCTCTGTTAGATTTACCGTTTGACGAATCGAAGAAAAAAAATGGGGTGCGTTCAAATTTCAGTCCTCCTACAGTTCACAAATCAACAAACCCACCGCGTTAATCTGACGTTGTGATGACTCTAAAGCTCATTGATGACGCAGTTGAAAGTTCTTCTCTTCGGTCTTTGCCGCTGTGGAATTTCTGGTAATTACTTCTGTCCCTTTCTTCCCTTTTCCTTTACATACACGACACTTTTCATCGTTGTTGTTGTTATTGTTATTTAATCTTCACTTTTCTTTCCCACAATCTTTTGTTCACGATGGGTTTTTTCGTCTCTACCAAATCTTTCTCGATTTCTATTCCACTTATTCGCGTTTAAGTGGCTGTTCTCTCGCTTTTCGCCTCGATTCCATCTGGGTTTTCATTGTTTGTTCACACCCTGTTGCTGAATCGTCTGTTGGGTTTCTGTGTTTTGCCTTGAATTTTATATAATTGCCTTCTTTCCCCTGCTTTGGGTTATGGGTTTGTGGTTTTTTCACTTGGGGTTCTAACGCTTTCGTGGAAATTCACCGGGTTTGCGTTGTTTTCTCCAAGTTCCTTTGAATTTTCTTGTTTCCCCAATGAACAACATCTTTCTTCCTTTGTGACTTTCTTGCTTCTGACCGTAAGAATTGGCTTCTGTGGAGGCGGTTCCTCGTGATTTTTTCTTTTCTTTCTTTCTTCTGAGCTTTGAAAGATGAGGTGTTTTTTTAATCCAAAGGGCAAATCCAAGGCTAAAGGGATATCCAAATCTGCTCCAGAGTTGAACCAAGGAGAAAAATCAGACAAATCGGCCAAGGGAAATGGTTTCAGACCATCGAATTCGTTGCCTTCACGGAGTATTCCTGAATTGTACAAAGAGAAGGAGCAAAATTTGAGGGTATTTTCTCTTCAAGAGCTCAGTGATGCAACAAATGGCTTCAACAGGATGTTGAAGATTGGGGAGGGCGGTTTTGGGTCTGTGTATAGAGGAAGAGTTAAGCCCACAACTCCCGATGCTGATCCTCTTGTGGTCGCCATTAAAAAACTCAACCAGCATAGCTTGCAGGTACTGCCTTCTTTCCTGACCTCTCTCTCTCTCTCTCTCTCTCTCTCTCTCTCTCTCTCTCTCTCTCTCTCTCTCTCTCTCTCTCTCTCACACACACACACATCATTCTAAATTCCCTGGATTCATTTCCTTGTCTGGATGCTTTGGATGGACCTGAGGATTTAATATTTTAAAAGCAATGTCATTGATCATATAACAATGTTTATCAATATTCTATCATCTGCCTGTGTATAAAATATTCTCTAAGCAACATATTACTCTAAATAATGAAAGCCAGCTGACTTTCTCTTTCATCTCATGTCAGATTCACTCCTGGATTTTTTGCTAGTCTCTGTCTGGTTGATATTTATCTAGTATATATGGGTGTCATTTTAGTGTCTCTTCATATATTTGTATTGTTTATGTGCGTTTATGAGCCGTATTCTTTAGAATATTTGAATGTCCTTCTTGAGTCAAGGGACATTGTGAAATCAATCGAAAACAAGTCAAGAATTTACCATACTAACAGATTCTGTTTTAAAACATTAAAGTTTTGTTCTAAAAGGTGAGTAGATTGTTTCTAAACAACATGATTTGAACTTTGCAGTGTTCGTTTGTGTAGTAGTGTTTCTTACAGTTTATTTTTTCTGTTGTGTAGGGTCATAAAGAATGGCTTGCAGAAGTTCAATTTCTCAGTGTAGTTAGTCATCCGAATCTAGTTCAACTTCTGGGTTATGCTACTGAAAATGGCGAGAGAGGGATCCAAAGACTGTTAGTCTATGAGTTCCTTCCCAACAGGAGCTTGGAACACCATCTTTTCCAAAGAGTGTCGCCGACTCTCCCATGGAAGCAAAGATTAGAGATTATCATTGGTGCAGCTCTGGGCTTGGCATATTTACATGGAGGATTAGAAGCCCAGGTACAATTTACTTGCATCAGTTTATGTTAGTTAATCGTATCGTGTTTTTCAATTTTCAAATGATTTTGAAACTTTAAATCATAATAATTTTTGGTGCATTTTTTTTGCTAGCTTACTTCTTTAGGCTGTGTTGGAACTGAAGTTCTTGTAGGTGTAGAAATTTTTTAGGGGATGTAGTTTTGATCAGTGAAAAACAGAACCAAATCCTTGTAACTCATCATTGTGTTTCATTTGCAATGTGCGGTTCAAATTATGAACATCTCATTGCAATTATGATCCACATTCAGATTGAATTGGACAAATTCTTTAGAGTCCTAGAAAATGGATTTTAACTCTTTTGTTTAGAGAATTTAGGGCTTGTTTGAGAATGTTTTTATTTTTTGGTTTTTTGTTGTGAAAAGTTATGCTGGTTCACGAAAATTTTCTTCGTTTTGCAATTGACATATGAAAATGTTTTTAAAATTCTAAACTAAAATGTAGGATTCAATATTGTTTTTGAAATTTGGCTATGATTTCAAAATGACTTCTTAAAAGGTGAAAAATTCTAAACATAGAAATAGTAAGTAAACTATCTTAATTTTTTAGAATGGATAACTAAAAACAAAGCATCGTTGTCTAACGGAGCCTTAGAAATTGTAATTTAGGTGCCATTTGTTCTAGTTTCATTTTTCTTAGAAACCATTCTATTTCCTACCAAAAAATAAAGTTACAAAAGAGGAAGACTTGATCTAGCCTCTAAGGGGAAGCTCAGTTGGCAAGGACTTGGATCTCTTGGTCATACTAGTTTAGAGGTCTCAAGTTCAAACCTTCTGGTGAACTTAATACCAAAAAGTCTTGATGTCTCTCGAGTTCGAGCCTTGGGGTGGGTGTGGGTGCCTTTGGGTATAGGGGAACAAAGCTCGGACTCCTTCGTTGTCATGTGGGGGGAAGGCAAGATCTCTCTCGAAGTCACGAAGCTTACAGAAAAGTAAATAAATGAACACCCAATTGAATAAAGAAAGGCTATAATGTTGACAGTCAGAGGTTTGAATCCCCGCCCCCGTTGTACCTAAAAAAGGCTAATAATAATAAAAATCTTCTGAAAGGACACGCCAAGTAGAAGTAGAAATGCTATGAGATTCAAACAATAACTTACACTTCTAGACTTATCTTCAAATATTCTTCTATGTATTTCCACCTAAGTTCGCAAAAGGGGATCCTATCAATTTATTCTGATTCAAGATAATAAGCTCGTGAAATTGTCTTACTTCTTGAGAGCACTTTGATTCTCAAGTGCATTGGTCCAAAGAACTTTAGCCTTTCATCTGAACCTATGTCCATACTGTAGAGATACCAAATTCTGCTTGCTGTCTTTGTGGAAACACCATTTTTCATAGGTTTGTTGTGCTAACTCTTCTTTCAACTCTTTGGTGGAGAACTGAATCCTACTCGAGTGTTGAATATAATTAATTCCCGCAGTTAATTTTGCTCCTTTACTGATGTTGTCGTTGTCTGTTTATTTCTCTGTGCAATTCTATCATGTAATTTGTTGACATCATTTTTGGTCGTGCATTTTCTAGGTGATATATCGGGATTTTAAATCGTCGAATGTGCTTTTGGATGAGAACTTCAAGCCTAAACTCTCAGACTTTGGCCTTGCTAGAGAAGGCCCGTCCGGCGATCATACGCACGTTTCTACAGCAGTACGTAGGGTAGCCTTCCCGTGTTAAATTTAGTTGCTTGTCATTTCTACATTACGTGGCCCATATAGTTATATCATCATGACGGGGTGCAAACTAGATGTCTCAGTCCTTGCACTTGCCTTCTAGATGCTTAGGTTGCACCTATATTGTTATAATTGCATCTCAAATGACCGTTTTTTCTATCAGGTGGTTGGAACACATGGATATGCTGCTCCAGAGTATGTCGAAACAGGTCGTCTCACAAGCCAGTGCGATGTATGGAGTTTCGGTGTGGTTCTGTATGAACTTCTCACAGGCAGACGAGCACTGGATAGAAACCGCCCTGGGGCAGAGCAGAAGCTTCTACCTTGGGTGAGGCAGTTTCCAGTTGACAGCAGTATGTTCACCATGTTAATCGATCCTCGACTCCGAAACCAGTATTCCTTGCCTTCTGCCCGGGAAGTCGCAAAGTTGGCAGACCGGTGCCTGAACAAGAATGCAAAGAGTCGACCAACGATGACAGAAGTAGTTGAAAGTTTGCAGAAAGCACTGCAAATATCGGAAGAGAAAACAGGCTCTCAAAGTAGTCAGAAACAGTCTCCATCAAAACTTGTTGATCAAAAACGTGTCAGAGTTGGAAGAAAAGGAAAGGCCTGATCTCCTAAATTCCTTCACTTGGTTACTGACTGAGATATATATACATTCTTCAGGATCAAGTATGAAAAGTTTTGAACTTCTGCCACTCAAAAAAATTCATCTTTTTTAGCACAAAGTCTTGGAAATATTTGATCATGTGAATCTTGTTCAATTCACTGAGGAGCTGTACAATTTTTTTTCCTTCAAATTTTCTATTTGTTTACTCTGTGCTTGGATTCAAGAACAGATTCTTTGAAGGTGTAGTAAATCTGTTCTGAGTAGAAAGTGCGAGAAAGAGGAGAAATGCAACAATGTTTTTATGTGGTTTCGTCCACTGAGCTATGCTCAAATTATTTATCTTTAATCAAAAGTTAGTAAAAATATGATCAAAATAAACTTACACAATAAAGAACTTCATTTATGTTGTGACGGTTTGACTATTTTCTCCCTAATTAATACAAATAAGGTGGAATTCGAATTCGCGACCTTTTGGTTAAAGATACGTGTTTTAGCAATTTGAGATATACTTGATTATAATTAAACTATCATTGATGATAGAAGGATTATTCACTTTAGTTTGTATGAATCTCGATCAAATTTTTGACTCAGAACTTAATAGTTACAGTTAATTAATAGTACAAATGTTGAATCATTACAAATAAACGTATAGAACTTAATAGTTACAGTTAATTAATAGTACAAATGTTGAATCATTACAAATAAACGTATGAGGATAAAAATCATTCTAAGAGTTTTTATCGTAAATTTATAACTTTTCTATACTCTTTTTCTTTTCTCCTTCTCATCTTGTAACTATAACACACTACCATATGTATGTTCTTGTTTCCATTTCTACGCCATGGCAACTTCCTTGATTTTCTTCTCCTTGATGAACCGAACATGAAGATCACTGCCACTGCTGTCAGATTCCGAAAGTCTCGAGCTCCGACCGCCCTCCGACATGCTCTTTACGAACTCGACCAAGTTTCTCCAATTGTGGGGTTCAAAAAGGTTCTTGTTCATCCTCAAGTAAGTGAATGCAGCCAATCCATTCCCAGATTCTGATCTACTTGTGGCTAAAATTTGGTGATATGCTCCTCCATCATACCTCTCCAAAGCATTCTCACCAGCAAGTTCAGTTTTAGTATCCTTTGTAACCATCTTCACTTGTGCAACCAATCCTTCTGGTGAGCAATTTCCATGGCTAGGCTGCTGTCCATCTTTCATCTCCATACAAGTGAAGTTGAACACAGCTCCATGTTTAGCCAGCATCTTTGCGATAGGCGAGTAACCATCTCGGTGTCGGGTGTTGTAGTACCCGGCGGTTAACTCCGCAGCATGGGATTGAGTCTGGTAATGCCAGTGAATCCCAGCTACTTTTGCTGATAGTTTTGCACCAGTTCCTTGGAAAATTCCTTTTGCAGCTGCTAGGATCATGTCGCCGTGCTGCAGTAGCTTTCCCGAGTACCATTCAAGGAAGAACTTTCCGTATTCTGACTTCCATGTTCCGTCCCTTTTGAAGAAGCCTGTATCTTCAGGGAACTGGTTGTACTGACCTGAATCATGTGGTCCATTGCTTCCCCACTCCCTTTTTCCTGCAGCCTCTGCTGCTGCTTCAAGGGAAGCTCTCATGTACTGTTATCAGGATCATAACTGGATTTTTAGCCGATAAATTCGACATTGAAACAAGAAAAAAGAAGTCTATCTAGTCTAGAATTTGAGTACCTTGTCATAACACTGGAATTCTCCAATTCCAGGAAATCTCCAAGTCCCATTGCTCTCTGGATAAGATGGATATCTGAGTTCCCCACATGGACCAGCCCCAACTTGAATTTCCTGCAATCCCACACATCAAATCCATCCCATCTATGTCACTCTAACTTCAATGATCGAATTGTCGGGGACGGTTAAGACGACGAAGGATTAAGAGAACTAAATGAATTGTAGATACATACCACTATAACTTCTCCCAAGTAGTCTCTGAATCGGTCTCGAAAGCTCCTCATGTAATCGGCGTAAACTTGGATCGGTGTTCTTCCTTTGAGAACAGGTAATGAATCACACCCCAATGAGATGTATTCAGGATTCCTCCTGCCTGATCTGTCAGTGTAAACGAGATCCGGGTTTTTGCTTATTTCTTCAAGCACCCATGGAGGTAAAGGAATGCTGAAACATCAAAACAGAGAAGAATACTAACTGAGTTTCATGAAAACAATGATGAAAATTGCAAAAGTTTGATTGAATTTTCTTACCTGCAAGAATCTCCAACATTCCCTCCACACTGATGAAAAGACATAACTACTTGCAGCTTCAAGCCATGCTTTTGAACCATCTGCACAAGCTCAGCATAGCCTTCCCAGTTGTATTTCAAAGGGCCATCTTTCTCCACCAATCCCCACCAAGCATCCACCATAACTCCTTCCACTCCTGCACTCTTCAACGCCATTAAACTCGCGTTCATCGCTCGCGCTTTGTTCAGACTCCCTCCAACACTCACCGTATCGAGCGGAAGCATAACAAAGACAGGAACTCTCAAGTTATTTTTGTGGTGATTCCAAGATGAAGAGTGAAGTTTCTCCAACTTTTCACTCCCTCTTTCTGTATGAGTATCATGTATCGAGCTTCTTATTCGAAAGCGGATATTGCTAGGTAGCTTCACTTGCTTAAAGGAGATTATGCCTGGAAGTGGAACATCTTCAAGAAGAGGAGCCTTAATGCTCTTGGTGTCTTTCAGATTGATGAAAGAAGTTGAGGATCGTAATGTCAAAGGCATATTTTTTGTTCAAAATGAAGAGAGGAGGAATAGAAATGGATGAAGATGATGCATATTTATGAACAAAGATTCCCAAAAAAGTTTAGGACACTTTTCAGCTTTGAAGGAGACAACAAAGCTGGTGGGCTCAGATTCATAAGGAAAAAGTACATAAAATCAAAACTAGTTGGCTTTACCTTTTCAAAGTCGTTTTCTAGATTACGCATTTTTTTTACTTCAATTTTCTCTGAGTTTAAAACTCAAAATCCCAAAATTTTCATTTGCCAAATTCCAATCTTAAACATTACTATTGATGCGAGGCACAGATTATTTGGATGGACTCTAATGTGCGCAAATGAGTTACCTACGAACAGTACGAACAGAACCTTGCACCAGTATGGTGTTCAGCCATGTAAACTCTAAAGTTTAAGTTATACTTAGTTTTAGCTGGTGTCGAGGTGAGCTTTAAGTTGAATGCAAAGAGATTGTGTACCTTTGAGAAGGTGAGGCTCCACATTTTATAGGGGAGCGTTGGGAAACATAATTTTACGATTACTGCTTATGTACTTGTCATTCAACAAATTTTTCATCGGCAGTCAGAAGATCCTCTACAAGCGTAATTAATGTTCCTTCAGCTGTTTAATGGATTTCCTGCCAATCAAAATCTTTTTCAGGTCAGAGCAAAGCCGAGCTCCGCGCTTTAGCACGTTGGCTTATTCTCGCTCTTCTTTAACGTGGCCGAATTGAGGCCCAAACATGTGTGGTACGACAAGAGAGCCATGTGTGTGATTTGATTTTCACTCCTAACAGTTACCAATACGCATCCGTCATTGCAATCATATCTCCATGAGGAAAGCCAAACCATTCAAAATAACAAAACCAAGTCCATAAAATGTTCTACATTTTCATTAATTTACATCTCTACAAGCTCTCAAAAGGATATATAAAGCAAATCTCTTCCAGATTCTCGACAAAATAGCTGCAAAATCTGATGACTGAGAGAGAAAATATCTTCAAGTGCTAAAATTTTTCTGATATTTTGTTGGGATCACCAATACCCTTTAACTTTTTAGCTTCTCGCTCTAATTTTAAGTGATTCTAGTAGCTCTAGAAAAACTATCTTCAATGACTAAATTCTTAAGAAATCAGAGATGTAGATGACTAAAATATCTCTCTTTTTGCTTCCCTTTTCTGTTATTTTTTTCCCTTTTGGTTGACCAAGAAAAAAAGAGCCAAAAGAGCAAGTGAATGCCTTCTCTATCTCTCTCTTCCTAAAGTTGAACTATATCTCTTCCTCTGTTATGTAATTTTACTTGGCCAAAACCATGTGAAGCCCCACAAAGAAAGTGATTTGTGGACTATGTTTGTTTCTTCACATTGTATATTATGTGGATGGAAAAAAACTTATGGAATATAGAAATTTTATTGGTGTTGGTTGCATTAGGATAAGAGAGACTGAAAAAAAGCATCTTTCAACTGTGTGTACACATGTGGCTGAACTGAAACAAAAGAGTTTTCTTTCATTCTTGGTTTTCTGTTTTCTTACTGATAAAAGGGAAAAAGAAAAGAAAAACCATTAGAACATCTCAGTGTCCCACTGATGTAGAAGTAGAACTCATTATTTTCTAACTTTGCTTAATAGGGCTCCAAAGAAATGGTAAAATTGAGAAATATGCAAAATGTGGTGATGAAACCAAAATCTTATCGATAGGCAATATAGGCAGGTTCAGGGCTTGCCACGTAGACCACTCATCTAAAGACACGTAGCTGGGCTAGCTTAGCATGCGAAGGACGAAGTGGCACTAACAAAGTTACCTTCCGCCAACCCCAACAGCTCGCTAGCTTGGCGTTGACCTAGGAATGGATAATGCCCTCAACAGGAATACCACTGGCACCTAGGGAAGGCACTGGCGCCACACCGGATACAGGTATGAGAGTGTCAGTCCGCTGAAGGTTTCCCTATAAAAGGTGGAGTCTCATCTTTGAAAAGTACAAAATCTCTATGTACGTGACTGAGTCCCACACCGGTACAAGGTTTTGTTTGCAGGTCGCCCCAACTGGCCGGTAGCCCACTTTATCTCGCCAGTTGACATGTCACCTCATTTGGAATCTCGCGTCAACACAGCATATGTTGTTGATTTTGTTTTATTATTATTATTTTCTTTTGGTAAGAAAAACTATCAAAGATCCCCATTAGAGCAAGGTTCAAGGAAATGCATCCCTTCAATTCTAAACCTTTTAAACTTTGGTTACTTCCATACTTTTGCCCCTAATGCATGTGCTATTTTTAATCTTGTCCCTGTAAAGTTTCTCCTTTTATCATTTATCTATTAAGCTTTTCCAATCAAGTCCAACTTCAAAGTTCAAAGGTAATAACAAAAAACTAGGGAAAAAATGGTATTTTTTATAAGGTGAACAATAAAATTTTTAATGGGTCCAATTTTCTAAAGTTCTAACATTTTAGGTTAGGATGATATTATGGGCCGGCCTGTGTGACACGGGTAGAATTTTCATTTTACGGGTTGACATGTCCAATACTAAATTAAAGCATGGCTAATTCCAATTTAACTAATAACTTGTATTGGACTTTCCCGTTTTGTGATGGTAAGAAACATTAGAGACAAAATTGAAAAATGACACAAACTAATAGGGAGCCTAAATTTTTTTGAGAATTCTCAAGCCTTTAAAGACTAAGGTAATGTTTGGATAAGTTTTGAATTGCTACACACTCCTATATTTGCTCTTTTTTCAAATCTCTCTCTTTTGTGCAAGAAACTTACTGTTTTTTATTTATTAGAAAAAAAGACATTAATTTTTTTTCCTTGAGGTGGTCTAGGTGATGAAAATGAGAGGTTGAATTTGAAAGATGGAGACCAAAAGATTCTCATTGTGTTGGCCAATTGGATTGCAAAGAAAAGCAGAACTTGGAATTGGGAAAAATCCAAACTTTGAGTTTGACAGTTTAGTCCTCAGCTGAGCTGTGGCCATGTAATTGTTAGGCCAACCATAAGATTTTTCTGTGGAGGCCATTAGTTCTTATCTCTTCCCTTTTTTCCCTTATTTATTTATTTTCTTCCTTTTCCCTCTCATGAAATCAAAATGGGAAAGAGAGCTGATAGAGAGATGTATAAATAAAGCCAAATACTTAGGCTTCATTGGAGGAGAGGATTGACATTTCTATTATGGGAGAAGAAAAGTATTATTTTGTTGTAAATACGTTTCTCGAAAACTTGAAACAAGAAACTGTATTTGGAGTGGGTGACCGTACTCGTGAAGGAAAGGATCTTCACATGGAAACGAAAGAATTTGTTTTTCGCGAAGGTTAAAGAACGAAATATTTCTTTTGCTTGACCTTATAGACGATTATCACCTATGGATTTTCAAGTAAGCTTATTGGCCACTTATTGTTTGATCCTATAACATGTTGTATTGAAAAACTCGTGAGATGTTTAATGTTCCAGCAAATGACCATCAAAGTTTAGATTCGTGAAAAACGTGTTTAGCTCTCGATCACTAAGGTATTCCTTTTAACATTTTCAACTAAGGTCAGTGAAAGTTTGAATCTAGGACAAACACAACCACCAAAAGGTACCATTTTTTTTTGGGGAAAAGGAAGACTTGGATTGGATGTGCATCCATTGAAAGGCAGAGTTTTTTTTTTTTTTTGGTTCTCCATTCTCACAATTTCGTTGTAATAGACTTCAAAACTCACCTTATTTTATTTTATTTTTATTTTTTTACCAATTTTTATGGTACTTAAAAGTTCGAAATATGACAAAGATTAAGAGGACCCATGTATTAAAAGACCCGATTTGATAACGATGTTGTTTTTGTTTTATGATTTCAAAAATTAAACTTGTTTGCTATCTTTTGCTTTAATTTATTTTTATGTGTTTTGTTTTTTAGAAATACTTTTGAAATCTTAGCCAAAAGAAAAAAAATAATAATTTAGAAAAAGAAGCATTTAGTTTTTGAAATCTGGCTAAGATTTTAAAAAATAAACCACAAAGCAAAGAAATAGTTACAAAATAAGTTGTTATTTTTTAAAGATACCGAAACTTCATATTTAAAAGCTATTCGATTTCTAATTAAGTTATTTTTTATAATGAAACAAATCCCAAATCCTCACGAAACTTGAAAGCTATTCTATTTGTAAGTTTTTTTTTTCCCTTTTTATTCTTTTTTTTTTGTGGGGTGTTAGTCTACAAGTTTTATATTCATAAACTTGAAGGAAACTCCAATTTAAAAGTTTTCATTGGACCACCAACTCTTTGTGTTCACATTGAATATTGCTTAAGAGGGTCTCAATCTCAAAAGCCTAACAAAATAAATCAGAACCTGAATGAGAAAATATTTAATCGAAAAGAATCCTCAAAACCAACCGAGAGATACACAAAGTATTATAGGGTCTGTTTGGTAACATTGTCGTTTCTTTTTTTCTTGTTTCACGTTTCATAAACAAGAAAAAAAAACGAAAACATTACCAAACAGACATTCTATGGTTAAAGTTAAGTCGTTCAAATACATATAACCTTGTAACTGCCTAGCTTGCCTCAGAAGTCAGATGGGTGAAACTGTAGCAGAAAAGTTTCGTGGAGATAACGCAAATAATATGAATAGTTCCTCATAACGAGTATGACAAAGACCCTCTTTCCCAAAAAAATATCTGTGGACTCCAAAGATATTTTTCCAAAGTTTATTCTTGATCTGAACATTTCGAAGATGAGGTACATAATTGATATGAACATCCTAAGACTTTAAATTATGATAAACTTTTTTATTTAAAAGCTATCTATGTAATTTTATTACATTCCCCATTTATTGAACATATTTAGTAGGGGTATTTTGATGATGTGGCATTTAGGTTTTGGTTGGGAGGCTATCTAAAGTCTTGCCATTAGGTTATTCGAGGGACTAAACCAGTTTTGATTAATGGAATTTAGCCTTTTGAGCTCTTCCTTTCAAGTTTAGCTAGGAGCTTCTTGAACATTTGCAATTCATGTCTTGAGTTGCATGCCAAAACATTCAGGTATGATTGATTATTCTATCTCATCGAGTGTTTGACTCTTGGGATCAAGGAATTTGTTACTTGTCTCGAGAGTTTTGATCTTAAATCAATCCGTGTCTAACCCAAACCTTAGGGTTAAAATCAAATCAATTGGAGGGTTTTAGTGTTTAGAATTAGGAGTCCACCTCCCTTGAGAGTTTCTAATTCCAATTCACTAGGATTTTCACATCAACAATGTATAGAAAATACAAGTCGGATCTACCGCTATATGGTTCTAGTTATCCCCTATATGTTATAGAACCAAGCATTGATTGTAAACTATATTACATGGTAGCAATATGCTAAAAAGGAATAAAATGAATATACACAAGGTAGAGTGAGAAGCAACTACATTTACATAATGTCTCACATGCATTCAGCCTTGGGAAGAAATGAAAGCAAATATAAGTTGTCTGAATCAGTATCTTTACAAACCATTGAGAAGACAAAGAAGATATAAAGACATCCTTTTGCAATTCCAATGTAATAATACAAAAGTTTCAGGATCCTCCTATAATCTAATGAGTATATCATGAAATCATGTTCTTCCATTCCATCATATAGAAGATAGAACTGTTGTGTCCTAAAGATATTATTGTCTCATAATAATCACTAATGTTCTCAAAATCTATAATACAATCCTGTCTTACAAGTATACCAAGGGCTTGAAGGGAAATAACTGGATTAATCTCAGTGAGGGAACTTCAAGACTCTGCTACAGGAAACACGGACCCGATTTTGTTTCCAAGTCGATAACACTTGATATTAATGGGATAGGGTCCGAGCTCGACATGGTTATCCTCTCCACCGAGGAAGAAGCATAGTGTATACAGTGCAAGTTCAAACTCAGGGCTAACTCCTATCAAAGTGCTTGAGACAGATTTGAGAATACCATTCCATTCAAACTGAATGGTAAGCAATTGAGTTTCTGAATCAGGCTGCAGGATTGGCAAACAAATCATTAAGACATGGATCAGATTAGGCAGAAGAGAATCCTTATCGTTCAGAAAGTGGGGCAAGCTCTTCAATTTTAAGTGACAAAGATGGTGTTCTTATCAGAACTAAGCTTTGATGGAACCACACAAATTTAATAGCCTGAAGAACGTCAGGCATATGAAGGTTATTATTTTACTGTAACCACAAGAAATTCAGAATTTCTTTGGCTTTCTGATAAAAATTTACCTTCTTTTATAAAGAATAATGCTGAACAGGGAACTGAGTGTCTATAATCATCTTTCCGCTTGTGGAATTTAGGTTAGAAGTGACTTAAGAAAGTTCCAAAATGATGCTACAACTTTTTTCTTTACATCTAAACATCAAATACCCAAAAAAAACATGAGAAATTTCAGTAGATAGCCTAAATTTAATATGTATTCTAAAAATGTTACAACTTTTCGTTTTTTTCAAATATAGCATAATTGTTTTCTTATTGTGTTTTATATTATATTTGACTTTTAGTTTTATTTGGATTATGCTATTCCTAAAAAATTTTAATCTTTCTAGTGTATTTGAAGATACATATTTATTTTATGCTATTTATATAAATGCTTCAAAAACTATTAAGGTGAGTTACTTACAAACTGGCCACGTCGTCGGGGAAAAATGTAACCTTGATAGTCAACAGCCCCTTTGGCTTCTTCAAGGTAAAACTAGAGTTGAAATAAGATATAAGAAGATTAGTAACTTCAGGAAACTCCAGCAAAGAAAATACTAATATTAAGAAAATGATAGCCTGGTGAGTTTACAGACAAAAAGTTATACATCATTTGAGCATTTTGAAAGTTAAAAAACTCAGTCAACTTCACAAGTTAAAAATATAGGGGCGACTAATAACCATATAAGTTCAATTTTTATAGCCAATACTTGTCAGAGGTTTACAATACAATCAAACAGAGGAAATGAGCCAAGCTTTCAGAAGACAGGCCGATTAGGTGAACAAGTTGCATGAAGTGCCTCAACATGGTTAGATAGATATTGAACAGATCGAGTATTTCAAGAGAGGGATCTCAGAGGGCCACTAACCTGAAGCCAGTTGTGGAAACCAGAAACCTCTTGTTGACCTCGTTGCTTGATTTCTCCAACAAAAACATGTTCAAAGGCAGAAGAGGAACCAGATGTTCCACCCCGACCATAAAGATCGAACCACAGACTGGTCAGCAAACGTTTGAAATCTTGGTAATCATTGGGTGTAACTCCGTTGGATGAAAGATACTTGTGAAGGTACTTAATTGGTGCAGTTCTGCTAATTTCTTCTACGAATGCTGCCTGCTCTTGCCTCTCCTCAGCTGTCACAATTTCTCTGCTCCCTTGATCCGGGTTGTAGTTATCAAGTAGTGAACAAAAACGTGAAAATGTTGGCTTCCTAAATGCATCTTCACTAACCCAACTAAAGAGGCATCCTTCTGCCATATCTTCCCTTCCGCTGACCCTCTTCCCTTCACCACAATCAATTTCATAATCTTTTCCAGGTACCAAACGATTTAGATCAAGTTCCCAGAGCTTGTTACAGGCACGGGACAAATCGGCAAGCTCGTCTTCTGAGGGTTCTAGCTCAGCACCAACTTCCACCTCATCAGAGTAATTTTGCTCACTGGGAGGTCGTTTGTATCCTCCCCAATTATCTATCTGCACCTAAAAAATTATTGCACGAGGAGTAAATTTTTTTAACTCCAAGACACTACCCATAAAACCTCTCGAAGTTCAGTGCTAGTTAAAAATCCAAGAAAGTTGCCCATAAGCAAGGTGAAAAGGACAACTTTTAGTCAGAATGAAAATGTACAGTAAACATAATCTTGAAACTTCCAAACAGCAGACTACCACACAGGTGATAAGTAAGAAGCGTGATCCCAGGATGGAGACGCTTTGCAGATTAAACATGATAGGCAAAGGTATAATTAATAATGCATCTGTAACTAAATATGCGGTACTCAAGAGTTGCTAACCATGGCAAATGCAATTGTACACCCAAATTATCAAGTAAGAAACACAAACAACTTTTAGTTCTTGAATTAACATCATAGTGGCCCATGATTATCATGTTTGCACACATTGCTTACTTCAAGAGCTCAACCAATAAATTCATCTTTATGATAATACACCATCCAAGTCAAACACTTCAACCCAATTACATGATACATCAGGTCATAAGGTTAAGGCTCTCCTTAATGAATAGAAGAACTGATTTTTTACTAGTTCTCTCAAGAAATTGTTTGCACTAATTAATCATATAAAACAACACACCCGACATGCATCTTGTCAAAATGTTCTTTCGTATAATAAATTGTACGATGAATAGTAACCTTGTGTTTTCTCCTAGGCGGCTTTTTGTGGACAGTCTCCCACCCATCATTTTTCTCCTCAGAGCCCTCCTGTACAGTGTAGTTAATACAATTAGAAAATACAAGAGAAAACAATTGAGTGATTTCACTATATAAAAACAACACTGAGAAATAAATAACGAGAAAGAAGACCTCTGTAGCCCAATGGTTTCTGTTGTGACCATGCTCACTACGGTATTCACCCTGTTCTCACATTTCATATGAAGTCAGCATTCTATCAATCAGAGTGGAGGAAATGAAACTGCTATTCGTACTAGATTACTGACAAAATAGCTGGAAACATCAATCCACAAAATTGCTTCAAATAAAATAAATGTTTCAAAATATATACCTACAAGCAACTACAATATTCATCATCATTAACAGGAAAAGTTATCTTGCGAGAATAAGCAACTTGGGTGATATCAAGATAAGAATTAAATCATAAGACCTTAGAAGAGGCTGCAATAATGAAGTTTGTGCAATATTATTTGATATACGTATCATGATATCTACTAAGAACAATTAATACTTTGAGAAATAAAAGAAATGTATGTTATTCTTCACAAGACATGGCATTTAAAAAAGGTAGAGTTACAATAAATAATATCTTGATGCCCCATGGGCCATGGGTGTGCGGATATGGACAAAATCCTAAAGAAAGTTTGTCCTTGTGAAGTTCGTCCAACGACTGCACTTAATGACGTATAAATGAGATTTAAAGTTCCAAACAGGTATCAGTTAACACGGTCCCACATTGGTTAGAAGTAGATAAGATCTTGGTTGTAGAAATAAATAAGAATACCATCTCGATTCGTATGAAACCAAAAGCAAGACCAAACATACTTGTACCCAAAGTAGATAATACCATCATATTTGCAACTGTTTCTCTAAATTTGTTTTCTTTAACGATACCATAATGCTCTACTAAAAATATCCATTACACTTCAAGCCAATGTATCCCGAAATGTCGAAATAAATCCTAACTTTCTAAATCTCATTCATTGGAAACAGCAATCCGAGTTCACTAGAGAGTCTTGAGAGTAAAATAATGAGAAATCCGATCTCAGCTTTTGGGGGACCTAACCTGCTGCCGTTGCCCAGAAATCCTCGAACCCTCAACCTCCCACTCCTGCCGCCGCGAACGACCCTCTTCCTGAAAAATCGATTAAGAAAACAGAGCACATTTCAATTTCAAATCGAATCCGATCTAAAACCTGATTCACATTCCATTTCCAGAATCAATTTCAGTCCAAAAAACAGACCTCATCGTCCCTCCGATTCGGAGCATACCCTTGTCTCCGATCTCCCGCATCCTCCTCCCCGGACACCACCTGCGCAATTCCAATCCAAAATCAACACAAAACGAGTACGAATTCAAACCCCGATCTCTCGATCGCTAGAGTATTACTAAACCACCCACTGACCTGAGCCCAAGTGGATCTGGATCGTTCGTCTCGAGACTGCGGAGCGGATTCTTCGTCTCTATTGTCGTCGTGGCCGAGCGCGATATCGAGAACGCCCTTGATCAGACCTTCCATTTTCAGACGCAGAGCTGTGAAGAGAGTGTGATGATAGTGATGGAGAAATTGAAGGGGCGGTTGAAGAAATCGGAAGATATTGAAGATGGCGGGTAATGGCAATCTTGGAATTAAGTGCAAAGTGCCACGTGTGTGATTGTGATTGGTGCTTCTCTGGACTGCCGACACAGCTGCGTGGCTGTTATAAAATGCTTGTTGACTTTACTAATAATTCAATAATAGGATGAAATCTGTATTTTCTCCTTTTTCAGATTCATTCAATCTAATTGTTTTGGAGCGAACGCGTGTCCGAGATGTCACAGTAAAATTAATGATTTTGAAAAAAATATTTAAATATAATTGATTTTTCAAAATTATCATTCAAGTTGTACCTTAAAAATCAATTTAAAATTATTCTAAAATTTTTTTAAAATTGATTTTTTAATTTGTCAAACATAATTAATGAAAATGGGAGTGATTTTTGCATACCTTTCCAAACACATCTTTGACTAATTTTGATTTTCGAAATCATCATCCAAGTAATATCGTAAATGGTTTTAAATTTTTGAAATCAATTTTTTAATTTGCCAAACATTATCAATAGAAATTGCTCCTCCGTTGTGGGTAAACGGGAAACCTGACTCTATGAACCCTAGGAAAAATTGTTGGAACGATTTTGACAAGGGCAAAAGTGATTTTGCTCGTGACAAAATCACTTTCAAACACACCTTTAATAAATATGTGTTGGTGTAAATTATTCTATAATTTAAATAGTAAAAATTCTAAAAATAACTTTTAGTATTTTTATATTTTGAAATTTGAAGTAGAATTACATTAAAAAAAAACTTTCATAAATATACTCTCTCACTATATATTCCTTTCATTTTGGTTAAAATTAAAATAATAATATAATATATTATGAGTTAAGTAATATTGTAAAATAATAATTCTACAAAATGTATGTTATTAACTTAATTAATAATATTTTAAATTAAAATAAATATTTACTTGATATCTACCTCTAGTTTAAAAATATATTACTAAAGACTTGGAACAATTTTCTAAACTGATATTCGATTTTTAAATCTATTACTCAACACATATCCGAAAACACTAAAAACGTGAAATACAACTCTATTTTTCATTGAATCCATTCTTTTCATATTTCTATTAAGTTTTTGTGTCAATCCAAGTATAGCTCGGTAGGTTGATAGTTTGATCTTCTCCACCTGCCATCGTTGAGTTGGAAAAAAAATCATCTTTATGTAAAATAATTTTAGAAAAAAATCACAATGTAAACACAGTTTAATCAGCGAAGTATTACTTTATCTCCCTGAAAATTGGAGGCTTAATCTACCCTTCTTGTTGAATTTTAAAAAACAAATAAACTTGATCTATATAGTTATTTTAACATTTTAAAATAGTGAACTCAAACATAGATGAATGGAAAGTAAGTTAAGGTTGGATCACTAGTCCAACATTTTCTTTGAAAAAAAAAAATCTCCCAATATCTTTATTGATATCAAATGTTATTAGTTTTCTCTTTTTAAAAAGGGTAAAAATAAAAAGGTATAACATGTTTTTTTTTTTAATGGTAGAGACTAGAGAGGACATAAATTCGCTTTCATAAAACAAAAAATAAAACACGACACATTAGAAAACGGTTAATGTTTTGGATGGGAAAAAGTTATATTTTTTCTAAATTGGTTTTTTCTATCTAAGAAATTCAAAAGTAGAAGATGTCTCGATGCCTTAAGATTTCTCCTATATCGAAGATTTCTCATATATTATATGTTACAAAACTCTATTTTTTACTATGCTTCATATAAAATTTCGATAAAATATCGGAGTATGTGTGACTAGCACTAAAGTGGTGGGTAAATTATACGAATCAAATTAAAATTTTCAAAACCAAATGGGTTTGGAAGTTAGTCAATGGGATGATTACTTGTTGCTTTATTATATGTATTGGAGGCCTATTTTATCGGTGTCAAGCCTCTATAGGTCAATTGAACTAAATATGAAAAACACTTTTAAAATAATATGGGTAAACTAAACTCAATATTTAATCTAAAAAATAACTAAACTCAATATTTAATCTAAAAAATAACTCAATATTTTAAAAATATTGATAATAAAATGGGTGAAAGTTTAATAATAAAATTAAAAGAGGAACAACAATAATTTAAAAAAAATTAACTTAATTCAACTAATTAAGACATCTATCTCTAATAAAAAATTTCTCAGTTGGAATATCAACCTCACACGGTGTTGTATTAAAAAAAATCAAATTCAAAATTTTCATCTTAATTATTGATTTAATTAGTCAATTGTAACTTTAAAATTTTAGTTTCATTGCATTAAACCTTAAATTTGGATATAAGTGGCGAAATATCATTTGCACTAAATTTAGACATTTTAATTTGGGGTGAAACATTTTTTAAACCACAGAATTGTTTTTTTTTTTT